ATTCCATGCACACACACATGGGCACCCTTGCGGCACGACACTTACCTGAGTGGCCGGGCTCTTGAGATGAAACGAAACTCACCCCCCTGTCACGTAGTCCTGACCCAATTAGCATCCTCTACACTAGTGTCCTATCATCTAGGAAGGTCAACATCTACCCCAAAGTACAATGCTGCATCCCCCGTCGATGTTGAAGATCAAAGTAGCAACTTGCAGTGCGTAGATGCAGATATGGCTGCCACCCAAGCTCGCCTATAACTTGAGGGGAGCCCTAAAGTTGCTCCTTGCCTTCCCTGAAGTCCAGATTCCAGTTGTAGGTGCCCTTCACTGTCGCCTCTCTTCAATTGTCTTGCCACCACAAACATGCACTCTATCAACCTGGCCGGGTCTATTGTCGACCCTACACGACCCTGCCAGGTGGGAGCAGCTTCCCTTTCGGCATGCTGCCCCAATTAACCCAAACTTCTTGCCCTAACCTTAAGTGATTACCCCTTGCCACTTAACTCTTGCCAGCAAGTAGAATCCGCTCTGATACCAATGTTATGATCCTGGCCAATTTCGAAGTACGCATTCATCAGAAAGTACAATGCCGTCCAATTGCAAAAAGAAATGAATGAACTTGAGAGGAGAGAGATTGAAAGAAGAAAAAGAAGAAAAAGAAGGAAAGAAGAAGAAGATAATGTACTCCAGCATAGACCAATGACAATGCTCTTCTTCTTCGCCAACCACTCTCCTCCTCCTCATCTCCTCCTCTCTTATTCAAACAAGAAATGACAATAATAATGTTGAATGGCTGAACCAGAATCAATGTCCGAATCCCTCTTCTACTGCAGGCACAACATGAGGTCCACCATAGCCATGGCCACCCTTCCTCTTCCTCTTCATGTAGGCTGAGGGTATGGCGGACTACTGAGGGCTCCACCCTCCTGTGCAAAGGACAACCCAAAGCTGCTATGTCGCTGCCCGCCTTTGCACAGGACAACACAAAGCAGCTATGCCGCTGCTCATTAAGCCGCCATGCCTGACTCTACCCCGAGCTTCCTTGGTGCGGCACTACCCCAACTGGGCCCTTCTAGATGCAGCGCCTAACAAGGTGATGAAGATGGTGTCCACCGCAGCCAGGTAGGTACCTCGCCACTCTCCTCCTTGGTCCTCTTCGCCCTCCTCCTCCTACCGGTAGAGCTCCACCATAGCCAAGGTGGAAGCTCCCGGGCTTCTTCCTCCAGCAGCGCTGTAGTAGCCAGCGCTCCTCCAGCCAGCGCTCCAGCAGTGTGTCGCCAAACTTGCCAACTGAAGAATGAGGCTGGGCTCTTCGCTCAGCCTCCAGATATAGTGGCCTACTTGCCTCCTGGGCGGTGACTTCCAGGCCGCTCGGCCTCCCAAGCAACCGGTACCTCCTCCCTTTCAGAGGGAAACATCATTGTAGACTCTGATATTGCCCGTACAGGCCGTAGACTCAGACTGGATGGACTGGAACCCGCCTAGACCTAGCCTACGGCCTCTAAAAATGCCAACTTGTGTTCTTCTGGTCAGCCTCGAGTACCCGGCACATCTACTTCTACTAGGTGCGGTACCTTCCTACCTGCTACTTTAGTGTTTTTCCGCTGCTCTAAGTGCCACAGGGCCCTCGCTCCGCCACTCGAGTGTTTTCCCTGCTGCAACCCTCGATATCACGGCCACGGGTAAGTACCGGCCCTACGGGCCTCCCAAACAAGCAAGTACCCTTACGGGTCACACACACACTCACGCCGACAAGCACTCAGACAGGCACCCAGGTCATCAAGCATGCACACAAACAGACTTAGAAGACTCAGCAGAACCGGCCNACAGACTTAGAAGACTCAGCAGAACCGGCCTCCCAAACAAGCAAGTGCCCTTGCAGTCACACACACACTCACGCCGACAAGCACTCAGACAGGCATGCAGGTCATCAAGCACGCACACATACAGACTTAGAAGACTCAGCAGAATGCGGGAATCTCAGCAAGGCATCCATTCCATCGGCAGAACTAAAAAATCGGCAGTGTTCTCAGTCCGTGTTATGGGGGGTCATTACTCAGCGAATTTTTGAAATTCAAGAAAAAAAAAATCAAAATTTTCAGCTACTGCGCAATTTTGGATTTTACGACAATTTCGAGAAACGAATCTGCGCCAAAGAAAGAATTCCGAAAAAACTAATCTTTTTTTTTTTTTTTTTTGGATTTGGCAGTTAGGTCATGAAGTGTGAATGGGAACTAATTAGGTTGACCTAATCAATCAATCAATCAGTCAGTCAGTCAGTCAGTCAATCAATCAATCAATCAGTCAATCAGTCAATCAATCACTCAATCAATCAGTCAATGAATCAATCAATGAATCGATCGATCGATCGTCGATCAATCGATCCTCCCCTTTTGCGCGTCAGGTCTGGTTAAAGTCCTGATTCACGCGAGGGGCTCCGATACCAACTGATACACGCTCAGTTGAGCAATGTATATGGAGCCAAGGATCCGCAAAGTAATGAAAAGGACTCGAATGGACAATGCAGCGTCAGCAAAGCATCAACAAGCAATGTACATCCAGATACATATCAAAATAGCACAAGGTAGAGCAGCAGAAGACTCGAACATATGACCTGACCTGTCAGATACTGACGTGGCATCCCATCATACACCACACGTGTGAGAGACGGAGGAGGGAACGCATACATGGAAGAAAGGTCCCTCCTTGCACACGCACATGGGGAGATACCACGAATGTAGAGATGGGGGGGAGAGGCGAGACAAAGATGGAGGTGAGGGAGAAGACCAAGATCGCGATAGCGAAGTCCAGAAATAGTCTCCCTGCCAAATATCCAGTCAATATCTGCCACGAAAAATGTTGAATCCGATCTTGGGCTTCATGCCCGATGTAACCTCTGCCTGTAACCTCTCTCTCTCTCTCTCTCTCTCTCTCTCTCTCTCTCTCTCTGAAAGAAGAAGAAGAAGAAGAAGAAGACGGAGGGAGGAGGGCGAACAGATGGAGGGCGAGGGGAATAAGAAAAGACATATTCCTCGTCGCTGTCTCACCTGCAGGTAACTGCTGCCATGTACTGACTGCTGTCGTGGTCCCTGTGCAGGTTGCCTGCGTGGAGCGCGGCTATGACGCCCAGGTAAGTACCGCTGCCGCAGGTATGGCCTCGCCTCACCTCCTACCTACACCTCTAGCTTTACAGTGCAGCGATGTGTCGTGCTGCTCCAGCAGTGTGTCACCCAATAAGTGAGCTACTCAAACTGCTTGTGAGCCCTGGCCTGTCCCAGCTATGTATAGCGCTGGGCCTCGCCGGTGTGTTTCTGGCTGTGGCCTGAAATGGCCCACACTGTCTGGGTCCCTACCGGGTGTCCAGACCTTCCTGCTGGTGCAGCAGGGAACGTCCTGCTAGCGGACAAAACCGAACCTGGCCTCAAAGGGCCCAGTCGCGAAGGAGGCCTAGGTCCGAACAGACTAAAAGTCTGTTCGGACATCGCAAGTCCGAAACGACGCCTGAGCAGGCAAAAATCGGACAGCAATTTGTCAGCAAATAAATATATAAATAAATGCAGCCTCAAAATCGAATCCTGCAGCCCTTAGGGCTGGCAGTGGGCCTCCTGGCCGCATGGCTGAAACGGCGTGCGGCCTTGGGGCCCCAGGAACAGTCTGGCCCCCGAAAAGGGGCCCGTACGCAGGCTCGGCATGTAACACAGTAGAGGGATATGGCTTATCATGAGGAGCATTTAGGATGGTCACGTCTCTTTTTTTTTTTTTTTTGCAGGATGGTCAAATGTCAGTTTTTCTCTGTATGGAGCAAATCTGGATCGAAAAATGCCGAACCTCAAGAAGCGTGCCATGAAGCTTGCCCCCCCTTCTCACGATTGAAAAATGTTGAACCTCAAGAAGCGTTCCATGATGCTATGTATACGGACTTGAGATTGCCCCTTATGCTCACAATTATCGGATGCCCTCGTGAAGCCCAGTCATGAGCCAGACGTTGATACACTTATCCATGAGGCTTGCGCAGTTATCTGGACTAGAGTAAAGCGCATCCCGAACCTGGTCGAGGAACCAGCCCTTGCTGCTTCACTAGCCTAATGTGAGATGAGTGTCCCGATGTGTGAAAATAACGTCAGAAACTAAAGCGATGCTGGAAAAAATAGAAAAAAGTATCATTGTAGTGATTAATCTTTCTCTAGCTAGCGAGCCTACGGCCTTTGCTTTTTTCCGAGTATATTAGATTGCGTTCGCTTTGAGAGATCGATCATCAAAAGCTCCGTAAAAAAAAAGAGAATTCATAATGGCTTTTAGTCCACTAGAACAATTTGCTATTGTTCCATTGATTCCTTTTCATATAGGAAACTTGTATCTTTCTTTTACTAATTCATCTTTGTTTATGCTACTGGAACGATACACTGTTTTTTGTTTTTTTTTCACATTTGGTGAGTGGTGCAGCATTGTGTCACACGGGTGCCTTAGAATATTCTATTATTGTGCCAGCCGCTGCATCAGATCCTGCTCCTCTTTTTCAGAGAGAGAGAGAGAAAGAGATTTTTTTTGGGGGGGGGTTTAGCATGCCATGCTGCAGGAGCCGCATGCTTGTTTATATCTTTGTGCAGGTATATGGTGGAGGTAGTATCTGCGTGTCTGTGATCGATACGTTTTTCCTGTGCCCACCCTGTCAATGTATCTGATTGGGTTATGGATGTACGTCTTGAGATGTTCCTGTGCGTTCCTGTGGATCTTATTTCTGTCTGTGTATATCGGGAAACCTGTGTGTATTTGCTGTGTTTTCCCTTGTTCTCTGTTTGTATTCACATATAGTAGAGTGTACCTATGTGGCTGTGAGTGCAACTTATGTGTGTATGTCTGTAGGGGCCTGGAACGTGTGCATATTTGTCTCTTTTTTTGGGTGTTTGTGCATATTTGTCTCGTTTTTTGGGTGTTTGGGCAGGAGGTTTTCCGAAAGGGCCTTCTGGTTGATTTGTATACATGGGTTTATTGTTTTGCAGGATCCAACCTCTGTTGCGGTTTGCTGATGAAAGTGGGATGCGGTGGATTCCGGCTTCATTTCGTCATACAAAATTGTGACCATGGAAGAATTGGATGTCCAAGATTATTCATTGTGTGGCTGATTGTTGTAAAGGTAGAGAGGTATGGGGAGGGAGGAGGCTAGGTGGTAGGGCAGAGGGAATTATGATGCTTTCGGTTTGTTATATCGGATGCTTGCTACATAGAGCGCCGTTTCTGATTCCGTTGTGTACACTTCTCTTCTTGTCATCTTCACTCCCAACTCCTGGTGCAAGTTTGCTGGGTGCTTTTCTCGGGTCAACTCATCGGCTTGTTATATCGGATGCTTGCTACATACAGCGTCTATTGTGTCTACTTCTTTTCTTGCGATCTTTACTCTTAAGGCCTGGTGCAAGGTGCTGAGCACTTTTCTCGGGTCGACTCGTTGGTTTGTTTTATTGGATGCTTGCGACATAAAGGGTGGTTACTGATTTCGTTGTGCCTACTTCTTTTCTTGCGATCTTTTCTCCGGGCCTGGTGCAAGTTGCTGAGCACTTTTGTCGTGTATCACCCTCAACAAATCGTCTATCCCTTCAACTCTTTCTTAAGAATTTGCTGGATTGATGGAATTGTTGCAAACTGCCATTAGTCGATCGCTATTCCCCCCCCCTCCACAGGAACATATGTGCTATGTTTCATTCTGTCCGTGACTTTTTCTCAAGATGAATGCCCTGCCAAAACCAAATGAAGGAAGAGCTGAGCTAATCTGGGCTGAGCATAGCAGGGGTGTGGATATGCAGAGGACACAGCCATTGGTCTGTGTCCATCCCCTTCCTTGGATTTCATCTGCGATGTGTGATTGTTTGTTTCGCTGGCCTTGAGATTACTGACCTGCCGACGCGAGCACAGCCACCTGAGCTGAGCACAGCAGGGAGGTGGAGCTGGGTGGAAGTCTGCTGAATAGGGCTGAGACAAACCGGGTTGAGTACTATATGGACTTGAGCAAATCAGACCTGGTCACAGCAGAGGGTGGAATGAAGCTGGCGGGAGGACTGGAGCGAAAGGGGACCAAGCCAAACTGAGCCACAGAAGAAGGTAAAATGAAGTCA